GCAAGCTGGTGATTTGAGTATTATTAAAATAAAGTATAGTATTTGTAATTTTCGATATCTTTGTAATGCTCCTAAGGTGTTTAATATGTCATCCTTATTAATATCCGACTATCAATAGTATCATCATAAATAATCATTTCAAGATTTCTAACTCTTTCTTCTAATTTATTAATAATTATTTGCTTTACTTCCTCACGTTCTTTAAACATTTCTTCGTAATTATTAATAATTACTTGCTTGGCTTGGGTTTCTTCTCTAACCTTTTCTTCTAAATTATTTATAATTTCTTGCTTGACTTCGGTTTCTTTTTCCCGTTCTCTAACCCTTTCTTCTAAATATTAAAATTGTGAACATAACCCTTCGTTACTTTGCCCTAACTCCTTAATTCTTGTCTCCAAGTCTTTTAGAGATTTATCTATATTGTTTTTTAAAACCATTTTTCTTTATTAGCTGGTACGAATTGTTATTTCAATGTTCTTTTATAGCTTTTATTTTGCATAAAATATTACCAATAGTAGATTCTCTTTTACTCAGCCCTCGGTTAAACCCATAAATAATATTTTGCCCTACCAAATAATTGATTTTGTAATTGTTATCTGAAAATCAAATTAAATCCGCTATCAATAAACTTATCACGAAAGTTATTGCTAAATAAATTTAAATTAAAAAAATAATTGACGAATTAAAAATAACAAGTTGCCGGTGATACGGGTGATCTAACCCGAAAGAGAAACATAAAGAAAGGAAAAGTTGCCAATTTCAAAAATAAAAAGAAAATATATCGCCGAACCTAAAATAATAGATGATAGAAAAGGACGCAAGTTTTTTTTTGGAAAAAATTGTCGGTCCCTCACTTTATTCTCGATCTAACCAGATTAGGAGAATATGAATGAAAAAAAATTTAAAAAAATTTTTAAAAAAAAAAAAAATTAAATTAAATTAAATCTTTCAATCTTATAAAGCAAATTTTATAAGAACGTTGTAAATGTCTGAAAATCATTTACTAACCAATCAAATTCTTTGTTTAGTCCCAATCAGCTCAAAAAAAAGATTAGAAATAATAATCATTTTACATATCTGTTAGAAAAAATCGTACAAAATTTTCAGTATAGCTAAATTAATAATAACGCAACAATTTTTGATTTTGAAACGTTTGTCTACAAAGAAGTTCATGACTTTATCTATTTATATTTGGATATATGACGTTTTGTTATTAAAGTATTATTAATGAATTTGACATCTTAATACGCGGTATTATTAGGAAAGCGAGTAGTAAATCTAAATTTAATAATTAATTTTAAAATCAAATATTTTAATATATACTAATTTCTTATAAGAAAATCAGAAGCAATGTTTCCTTCACACAATCTCCCTCGGAATGTAATCGCGAGTACAAGTACATGTCGGACATACATCCCGAAGGTCTTTTACTTAAATATTGATTTGCAAAATGGTGCCGAATTCAATTCATTCGAGATATTGGTATTCGGTAAGTAGGAATTCTAGAAATTGTAAGATAATGCATTGTGATTTCGGGAAATCTTTCTTAAATTATATATATGGTTATTATTATTAAACGCAATTCATTGGAATTGGACGACAAAAGGCCAATGAATTGCCGTTCAATTACTGCGCCAATCAATTTTCGTAATCAATGGTCTAATGACGGACGCAATAATGAAACAACAATGATTTAGTTTTTCACAAAATCTCATTGGGCATGGGTCAATCAACATCTCATTGTTTATTTTCCAAATTTGTTAATGCCTTAAAATTTTGAAATGAAGATCTGCCATATTTGGCCAGCACTAATGAAAATTCAAAAAAAAATATTTTAAGAAAATTTAGTGTTAGCTACGTTAGCTATGGAAAAATTATTATATAAATGATATTGTAAATTATTTCCAAGTTCAAAAGGTTTCTCTGAATCCAAATTAACTATTTATTAAAATATAATTAGCGTCATCTATGAATTCTTAGGAACCTTTTAAATTTGAAATTTATTTATATATATTGATATTTTCAAATTAACAATTTATTAAACAAAAAAAATTATAATAATTCTTTACTACCTTTTGCACATTTTTTACCGCTTAAATCAATCATTTAAAAAATATGCCGAACAACCAAACTCAATGAAAAATATGTAAGAATTTTTAGATAAGGTCAAAAATGCTGATATTAAAAATATTAAAAAGATTTAATTAATCGTAAAGTTGAAAACTTAAGTTTTTTCTCAAAAGAAAGTTTATTAAATTTACGCAAATTAGTTGATATTATTGATGAAATTTGTAATTTCGCTAGAGACATTTCTAATAAAGAGTATTTTCAAATTCAGAAGTATTAAAAAAAAACACTAAAGAATTAATTAGTTAATTTAATTCTATTATACAAGCTGTGAAATTTTCTCCTCAGGTAATATGATTAATTATTCATGAATGCTACTTAATGTATCCTTATTAGCTAATCTCTTAATGACGTGAATGATCAAGATTGGGTGAGTTGTGATTTACGCATATTATGAATATAGATAAATTGATTTTTCAAGGAATATAATTTTAATTTACGTTTTTATCATTTTATTGTACAGAGACTTGATACGTTGAGTTGTAGTCATGATGTTATAGGTTGGTCAATATGCGATATATATGAAGCAATTGCATAAAAATTATATATTTAAAAAATTAAGTGATTAATAAAAACTATACTTATATATAAATAAATAAAATAAAGACGTGTACAAAGTAGAAGCTTAAATAGTTCATTTTAGAATGTTTAAAGTCAGTTCTATATAGGGTTTGACCGACAGTTGACCAAACATTTTTAATTAGTAATCCAACACTAGTCGAAATAATCCAATTCGTCACTTTTTTAAAGTGCCAAATATTGGCCAAAATATAATCTAATTTCTGCTGATCAT